ATTTGAATTCGAATCCTATCGGTAAGTCGGATCTTCGTATCTGATCCGATCCGACTTGTTTTCTTTAAAAATTAATAAATTATTAAAAGAAAAATAAAACATACTAATTTAAATAAAGTAAAAGCAAAAAATACAAGTATTTTTTAATTATTTTCATCATACATATACATGTTTTTATAAAAAAAATAAATAACATAAAAATTTATGAAAATATAAAATAAAATATATTTATAAATAAATAAACGACATATATATGTATTATATATATTTATAAATATATAATATATATCGGATCGGATCTTCTCGAATCGAATAGGGGTGATCCAAATCCAATCCTATTTCTGATCGGATCCTATTATCCGATCCGAAGATCCAAATAGGGGTGATCCGAATTCAACCAAATATGATTGGATCTCGGATTGGATCGGATCATGATCCGATCCATTTGCACCCCTAATTACAGCTGAGCCCCCAGAATAAGTATTCCCTATTTGCCCCTTGTTTGGCTAGACAATCATCTAGTGCATTTGCTGATTTCCCCACCCATTGTATTCTTACATATATATTACATGTTATCCACTTGAACTTTTTTGCTTCATTCTTGTAGGATCACACTGCAGTACTTGGACCCCTCAACCAGCCCACAACCACCTCGGAATCCCCTTCAATCACCAACCTCTCCACACCTAAACCAGATGCAAACTGCACTCCTTGAATGGCCACTAGTAATTCTGCCCTGGTAGAGTCTCCAACTCCCAAAGGACCCGAGTAGTAGAGTATAATCTCTCCCAGATCATTCCTTACAACTCCTCCCATACCAAAGGGGGAAAGGGGCCTGGGTTGCCTTAACTGCTCACATCAAAAAAATATTATTTTTTTCACATATTACTAATATAATCAAAGCTTTACTGATCAAAAAAATCTTGTCCAGTACTGTGAATCTGTGATCCACATAGTTGTCTCGCATTATTATACTTTGTTTAACTGAATATGATAATTACTGGGAAGTGTGCAGAAAATTAAGGTAGAGTAATCTTTTTTTGTAGTAAAATAAAATTTATTAAAAATAAAAGAGAAAGTACAGGGGAAGGTGACCAGATGTCACTGAAGAGGAGAAATAAAAACCTATGGCCACCACAGCCTGACACTCCACAACCTGGACAACACCACAACTGAGAAAAACACCCAATATACACTGACCCAGCAAACCAGATAACAAAAAATTCTGCCCTCGTAACCCTACCCAACCACACAAGATTTTACAACTTTCACCACACCACTAAGGCTGCATTTGGCATTCCTTATTTTAAGGACTTATCTCCTTTTTGCAGTTAAAATGCCCTTATGAACCCTGAGTTTTTAACAGGAAAAAGGAGATAAGTCCTTAAAATAAGGAATGCCAAATACAGCCTAAAAGACCAAAAACACAAAGACACAATAACTCCAGCTTAAGATCTCCCATCTTTGTTTCATTGCTCAGCATCTTCAAAGGCTTGAACATCCTTTGCTCCTCTTACAAACCTTCTTTACTTTTCTCAGCTTTTTACAAGGCCCAACACCAAATAAGCCCCCCTTCAAGCTGGCAAAAGTTATTGAAACCTGAACAGTATGATGTTTTTTTAAAATCTAAACCATCTCACTACATTAGGAACCTTCAAAAAAAAACCTGTTAGTCAAAAGGATTTGCGTTGGTCCTTTCTAACTCTTATCAATGTTTTAAAAGCACAAGGTGCAAGGCGAGCCACGCGCTTTTTTGAAGCAAGATGCAGATTTAAAAAAGTCAAATAAAATGCATAAAATGTAAAAGAATTCAAAATAAACCAAGAAAATATTAAAAATAGTATTAATTAAATAAATGCAAAGTTTAGTTTTAAATTAAATATTTTAGAAAGCCTATTAGCTCAAACTAAAATATATAAACATAACATATAAAACATATTTCCTTCCACAATTGCATTATTTCACATTTTTGGTAATAAATAAAAATTTATTAAAAGAAAAAGGAGTGCAAGGAAGGTGAGAAAAAGTCACCCGAAAGAGAGACAAAAACAAAAGAGTTTAAAACCCACCCAAGCATCATCAAATTACAGCCGAACCAAACAAACTCAAGCAAAACCAACCTACAAAAAACCATGCAGATGCTTCCCATACAACATCCTGAAAGTGAACAAGACAAGCAGAAAATTTCTCTACTTCTTTTGTTGGACTTTCCTGTATTTTATCATCTTTTTATTTGGTCCAATTCCAAATAGCCTTCCTTTTAATCTAGGAAAAACATTTGACACAACAGGTTGATGCTTTTTTTGACTTCTGAATCTTCAAGCTGTGAGATTATCCTTCCTAAGCTCCAACAAAAACTTAGTCTTCTCGTTAATCCTTTCCGTTTGCAAAACCGACTTTGTTCATGGCTAATATCGATCTCCCCCAAAGGTAATGGATAATTCTCTTCCAGTTATTTAAACTTCTTCTGAACAAATTCCCCTCTTCCTACAACAAGTAGCTAAACATCTTTTACTCATAATTCTACAAGCCGCCTTTGTACCAAGCCCCTTGAGGCAAGCCTAAAGAAGTCCATGTTAGGGTTTTAAATTCTTAATCCCTACAAAAATTGGTTTAGAATTTTAATTATCTTTTAAAAGAATGTCTTATATTAACAAAGGCACATGCCTTTTCTGAGGCGCAAGGCCCAACAGATGCACCTTTTCAAAGGGGCTATGCCTGGGCCTAGGTGAGGCACAAACCTTGAAATGAGCCTTGCCCATGCACCTTCTCATTTGTTCTCTCAACATCCCTGACCTCAGCACACCCCAACCTTTTTTCTTCCGCACTACATCCTTCCTTTACACATCCCACAACCATGAACTTAAAGCCCCATCCCTTCAACACACCTTTCCTTCTCGCCACCTTTACTGTCACTTCCCCTCCTTTTTCTTCTTGAACCCCAACCCCCGCTGTAATATCCTTCACCCTACCTTCTGACACTTCAAATTCTTGCATCCTTCCACCCCTAAATACTGCTTACCCATTCTTTTTTGCTCTCCCCTGAAATACATTATATTTTTTTCTTTTTTTCTTTTTTTCTTTTTTTTTTTGAACAAAAACAAGTTTCTCCTGTGTACTGCCACCAGTGAGATCCTTCAGAGTTGTCAAGCATACCTGTGAACAGCTTTGAAATCCTCATCAGACTTTCTGTTAGTGTTGCTTGATCCTGCAACCAAACTAGCCTCCTTCAAAGGGTACTCACGGGATGAACATGGGATGGTGAGATTGGGATCTGCACACCATGCCACCTCATCAAGGAGCAAGAGCCCTGGCTTCCAGAGCGACATCTTGTTTAGATGGATTGCAAGGACAGCTAACTCATTGGTAGATATATGAACCAGACCTGGGTTTTTTTATGGGTGAATCGTAACAGGGAACTGATTGTTGGACAAAGGATGTCCACTGCATTACTCTGCTTTTATCTTGTGCAGCAAGGCCTTTATTTCTCTTTTGATTCCTGAGAATTGCCTCAGATTTATCCTAACACCATTTTTATTAATGCTCTCTTTGATGTAGTTGCTGACAGAGAAAACCATAAAAAAAATGGAAATTTTGCACTCACTGCAGATTTAAATTATATGCATTACAAGAGAAGCTAAGCTATTGGCCAGGGAATTAAGATTCACTTTTAGATGGACTCAAACCTCAGCTAATTGCTTGGCTGATCTGTTGGCAAGACAAGGAGTAAAAGGAACCCATTTATATTGAGGGATGATTCTCGAAGGAAACTAATAGTAACGTGTAAGCAAATGAGATGACAGTCTGAGGTAGACAGCATCAGCTAGCCTACTTGTGAAGGTTTACATTCATGGAAGTGAGAGTAAAAAACATGTAGAGGAACTTGTAAAGAACATTGGGGCCTCATGGGAGTACAGAAATGAATTCCAAGATATAAAAAACATGGAGAGAGAGAGAGAGAGCTTGGAATCTGATACAGGTGGACTCCTAGATCGGCCAATAGCATGGCTGATGCACTTGTAAGGCAAGGAGTGGGTAAGGAGCAATTATTCGGGGAAGCGGTTCCCCAAGAGGAGAACCTGTAATAGAAGAAAAGAAATACTGGGTGGGCAGAAAGGACTGGCCCAAATTTTTAGGAAAGTTCTGGCTTATCTCTATTGTACAGCATTCTCTATAATAATTAACAAATCTATTTTATTACTGATCAAAATAAATAAATAAATACTGAAACATGGAAGCATAGAAGGAAAAAAAAAAAAGGAACAAGAAGAGGATGTAAGAGAAGAGGGAGACGATCATTAAAATAACCAAGAAGGAAATATTTGATAATATTGATATGCCCATATGCACCGAGGCACTGTAAATGAAAGCAGAACAACAATAGCCATGCACAGTTCAAGGACAGCAGATCCGGTCAAACCAATGTACTGTCTCTTTCTATCATCTATTTCAAATTCCAGTAGCAAGATAATGCTAAAAGCATTCTTGCTGCCATATGAATATGAAATTAACTGGCATAAAAACGTTAAGATCATTTAGTAGCCAAGACTTTACTCAGTCCAACTCAACTAAATAGAGCCTTGATCCGAAGCTTTTTATTTTCCTACCATTCCTAAAGGTATTGCCCATCATCGTATTCGATGAGGGTAACTGAATTATCTATACGTATCCTGCCTGACATTGCACTCTATAGGTATTGACCATCATCGAATTCCTTGCATTCCTAAAGATTTATTTGCGTTCTATACATGAGTAACCACCAAAGACGCAAGGGAGCTTACAAATTCATGCATAAAAAGTTAAAAACTATAAAATGTGAGCGCATTTCTACGTAGAAAGAAAGAAATATTTTATTGGATGAACAAACAAGAAGAATTAGAAAGAGAAAAAAAAACGAAAGAAATAAATGAATCAAGTGAACCAGAACATGAAAACCTTAGAAACAGAAGCAACGATTCCTGCAAAATAGAAAGAAGTTCAAGAAGGAAAAAACATCCTACCTGTTTCCGAAACATCGGAGAATCGTCGAGCTTCGTGAAATGCATGCTGAAACCGCGAATTTTCCTCCTCTCTGCAATAAATTGTTCTCAACATCACACTCAGAAGCTCGATCCCCTGGATTCAACCCAATCAAATCTAGTGACCAGCCATAAATCACCAAACGAACTCTCGAAACCAAGTTAGACCATAACCAATTAAGCTCTTCAATTTCAAATAAACTACTTATCAATGAAGCTCCCTTATTTGAATAAAATCGTATCCAACCAGAAGGGGCAGCATCTGCAGCTCGATTTGAGACAATGCAACGAAACCCCAGAACAACACTTCGATCTTAAAAATCAATGAAAGTTTCTACTCCGCTAGTTTATTAAAACTAGAACAACAGCCAGAATGATCGAAACAAAACCCTGGAGGAACAGAAAAACATGACCTTGATAATCGAATCAAAGCTCGCATTAATGGATTCTCGGGAATTGATCAGATCGATTAAGCGATTTCACATTGGGATCATTGAAATTTGAAACCCGGGAGAGAAAGCTTTTTATCTCTCCCTCTTTTTGTTTTTATGTTTTTTGCTTTTTTTCTCTTTATATCTTGACCGGATTTGTAGCAAGGCTTTTTTCTTAATACCGGAAACCCCTGCGAGCTTTCATCACTATCCGCTAAAAAAACTTGAAAGTTGAAACCCTCTCCCTCTCTCACTCTAAGAAGGGTAATGCTTTCTCAACGCTCACGGCTTCATCTACTGAGCGTCAAATCAATCGACGCTTGTTAGTAAAAAACAAAGTACCCGCCATCCGATACAAGGGTCTTTCCGTAAATATACATTTTTTTATGGAATGAAGCGTTTTCGTAGTTAGGAGGACCTACGTTATTCACCAACTCCTATCAACCGCGCGTCGCTGTTCATTCTCTCCCTCCAAGTCCCATCCTTTTTTTCTCTTTCCACATTAAAGCATTGGAATTCAAATCTGCGCCCCACAAGCTCTCGCCCCACAAATGCCCCACACGCCGAACGTCCATCTGTCCCTTCGCACGCAGTTAGCTTGTCCCGCATGCAGAGCTAACGGGACGTTAACTCGTCCCGTTAGCCCCAAAACTATCCCAAAATCGAATTCAAATCTCAAAACCCTCATTTCCACATTTCACATTCCCGCGTGCTTGAACAGCCGGTCCCCTGACCCCTCGTTCTTTTCCCTTCACCCGAGTTCTCTTCTCCTTTTTCGGCACCGGCGACCTACAACGACAACCGGCGATCACTCCCCTTCTTTGTTTATTTGTTTTTGGGCCGTGCAGCCCGATAAGAGAGCTCTCTGTCCAGTGTCCAACACATCTTCTGCTCTCGCTCCCTTGTATTATGCGCAACACTTAGCGTTGGATTTTATCACTCTGAATTCTTTATTCTGAATCCCCCGCCGGAACCAAGGGATCTTGTACGTCACGTCAGTCTTTTTCACCTACAAACACAGTAGTTTATCGTAATTTTTTCGGAGAAGTATTACGAGACTGTGAACTGTAAAAAATTTGAACTGGCTTAAACGATGGATGATTCAATGGAACGGCGACCCATGAAAACCCTCAAAAAACTCAAGGAAATGCGGTCTCCCTCTGTCAGATCAAATGTAAAGAGAAGAAGAAGAAGAAGAAGAAGAAGAAGAAACAGTTTTTTTTAATGCAATCAAACTATTAGTATTTATTATCCGATTTAAAGAGCCACTGCAAACAAATCAATCCTTTATACAGACATCCATTATAACAAATTCCATTTCTATACTATAAATAAAGAAACCCAAAACAAAGTCAAGCAGACTTAAGACTATTTTCTTCCCTCATCCTCGTAAATTTTCTGAAAGAAATGGAAAAACAGAAACATTTTCCTTTTCTTTCTTTTAATGGGTTCTACGGTTAATCATCTCCCTGTATTGATTCAACGACTCCTGCCTCTGCAACCTCATCTCTTCATTGAATTTCCTTATAAACGCTTCCACCCGCCGATTCAGTTCGTCTTGACTCAGCGACGGTTCTTTCTGAAGCTTCCCCGAACCACCCGGGGACGGACTCAGCGACGTCTCCAGATTAGTACGGTCCCTGAACATCTCTGCTTTCTTCACTTTCGCGGGGGTTGGCTCTTGCGTTCCCAGGCTCGGGTTGCTGTGGCGACCGTGTGTTTCCCACGTCTCCGACTTCTTCAGATGCCCAGTCAGTGGCATCGGCCGGCCGGCCGGCCCTTATCATCTTCCACGTGTTCTCCAGCGTATCGTTTCGTTTCGGCTTCGCCAACCGTAACGCCCTTCCACCTAATTAGTAGTCACAGTAAACAATGCCATCGGAATGTTAATATTTTCCCAAATACATTTCTATGAACTTTTTCTCTATAAATTGCGGTCTCTGTTCACGCATTTGTCTTGATCGAACAGTACCAGAACTATGTAATTGGAAATTGGAATCTTTATATTTCTCCATAGATTTTAGCGGCAAATAAACGCAGTGTTTTTTCTCATCACATATAATGTCCATAAATTATGAAAAACGAAAAGAAATTAAAAAAAAAAAAAAAAAACAAAGTAGCAAAAACTGAAAAAGAAAAGAAACCAGAAGCATTCCCGCCGGGCGGCCAGCCGGATTCATGGCAATACGACGGGAAAATCTCCTTCCACCSCCGAGGAAATTGATGCAAATTATAAACAAAGAAAATTGGCTTCTGATAACGTGCACCATGAAGGCCGGTACATGTTACCTTCTCGCTAATTATCTTATCTTTATAATATAGTGACAATGTGTTCAGAGAGAGGAGTGAGAGTGTAGTAAAGGGCTAGATTTGACGATTTTTCGACAAAACCTTTCAAAACCCGGTTGGGAAGGAATATTCTGTTGGAACCTCCGTCGAATCCCTCCGCTGCGGAGTCCAAGTCGATCTAGAGATAACAAAATCATCCTCGTCATACTCCTCCGAAGCTCTCGTCAGAGGAGTTTCAACCTCCGGATAATCGCCGGTTGTCGGTGCCGAAAAAAGAGAAGATAACTCGAGTGAAAGGAGAAGAACGAGGGGTCAGGGAACAAGCTAACGGCCGTTCCGTTAGCCCTCCCATGCGGGACAAACAAACTGCGTGCGAAGGGACAGATGGCGGACGTTCGGCGTGTGGGGCATTTGTGGGGCGAGAGCCTGTGGGGCGCAGATTTAAACTCAAAGCGTTGTCGAACGAGCTGAAATTTTGTTGTATTACCAGGAGAGATGCTTGCTGCTGATTGTTCGCACCTTTACAGACCATCCGTGCGGGTCCCACACAACAATAGACTTCTGCTTTAGGTCGCTGAAATGATTCATTTTGTGCGCTTTTTCCCCACAGCTTTTGCAGTGGACCCACATACATCACACATGGCCCACCCACGAACACAGTTCCGTTTAACCACAGTTAATTTACTGTGTTTAAGTAAGCGTGTTAACTTGGTTGCCGTTGAGATGTGTTTTTTCTTTTGCAGTTTTGCTTTGTTCGATACGTCGTTTTATACGAGGGTTAGTTTGTTTTTTTACAGAAACGTTGTCGTGAAAAAAGAGGATGGAGGCCTGGAGGGTACAATAATGCTATAATGGCAGGAAAGGTTGGAACTTTGGAGATTAAGGCTGTGTTTGGTAGCATTTGTGGTGTTTAACCTGAAATGTTTTGCGTTAAAACAGAAACAGGTACTTGAATTTTGTTTGATGATAAATGTATGTTTTTGTCCATATCAGCATCATATTCACTGCATCGGTACCACGTGGTCCATGTCAATAAGGGAATTAAGACTTTGCTTCCCAAAATGGAAAAGATGTTTCTGGGATCAAAGATAGGTATGGCAAAGAGACCAGGGTGGAGATGGGGATTGTTCCCACAAAAATCTCCCTCCCCGTCTTAGCCAATGGGACAGGGTTTTTTCATCCCTATGACATATTGACATTTCCGTCCTCTATTTTTTTATGATGTTGGATTTATTTTATTTTTTATTTTTTATTTATTTAAAAAATAATTGCAATTCAAAATCCTATTAAAATTCGGAAATTCTTACCACAAGGAGAGTGATTTTTCTGTCACCACCCCATCCCGTCAATGGAAATGAAAATATTGGTCATCCCTTTCTTTACCCCATTTGAGGTAGACTTGGGAGGATTGAGTAAATCTATACTATACACAAAAGTGTGGACGTAGAGTGAAAGTTTTTTTAAATTAAAATTATCCTTTATTTCTTTATCTGATAAAAGGTTTAAAAGTTATTTTATTAGAGTTTTAACGACAGATTTAATGGCTATTAAAAAGCTCATATTTGTGTATTTACTCCATCCCTAATTTCAAAGGTTTAAAATGCAACTTCAATTATTACTTTGCACCTCATTTAATCCCCTCTTATTAAATATTATACTTAAGGTATTTACTCCATTTTCTTTTATTAAATCATATACGTATGTTATTTTTCACTAATAAATATTACTAATTAGATCTATATCAATATTTTTAACAATATAAACACATGTATTTTAAAAGTAACTCAAAAATAAAATCATTCTTTATCCGTGTGATGGTTAAGCAATTCAACCATCCAAATCAAATTGATCAACTTATGAAGTCATAGTTAGGTAATCATATTTTTTAAATAGAAATAAATATAAAAAATGCAAAAATGTAGAAAATATTATATACATTTATAATATTTATAACAATCAAATTAAAAAATAAGTTTAATAAACAATAATTATTTTTATTGATAATGAAAATGAAATACATAATTTAGAATTGACAAAAAATGAAATTATTTTACTGCTTAATAAAGATTGATAGTTCAACTTTTGGGGCAAATGTGTTAACATATAGTGTTATGTATAAATTTTGCAAAACAACATTCACGTACATGCATAATATCATATATTTATCATAATAAACAAAAAGTGTGATATATGAAAATTACTTTTAAACACAAAAATAAAAAAAACTATAGAAAAAATTGAACACATTTATAATTTTATAAGATTGTGGAACTTTTTTTTGAATAAAATAATCATTTTTTAATTTAACCCCCATTTAATTGTGAGGTTTAAATTGTAAATTTAACTACTACATTTTCACCTCATTCAATTACCTCTATTAAAATCTTATAATTTTTGTTTGATAAATGAACAAAAAAAATATACACAAAAAAGATAAAACATTACAAAAATAAGAGTTTTGCCAAGTAGGTAAGCCTGTCAATGATACTTGAAATTTCACAACTTGATCCAATTATCACATATTTTGATGATGCGTTTATGTAATCAAATTTGGGTTTTGCAATATGCATCCGATTAATAATAAAAAATAAAAAATACATAAAGTTTATAAAAAATTTGGATACATCATTATTGTCATTATCATCATCTAGAATTGTCACCTGCACACTTACTAGTAGGAAAAATTTACCAACTCTATAAGCATGGATCATGCGAATTGTTTATGTTGACTTAATTCCAAATGTCTACCAAATAAAAAATTGACCATTGAACTCATACCAATGAAACATCATTAATACTTGAAACACCAATGGTATGAGGCCATAAATTATGGACAAGGATCAGTGATGAGAGTGACTTTTGGGATGGGAAACATGATCTCGGAAGATGATTTCATGAAATTTCAACTTTTCATGATTATAAGATTTAGGGTAAAATACAAAAACCTCCCCTAAAGTTTCTAACAATCATAAAAACCTCCCCTATAGTTTTATTTTAACAAATACATCCCTTGAACTTTTCAAAAACACGACAAAAGCCTCCCTTCCGCCATCGTCCTAGATAGAAAAACGTTAGACTGATGCATCAATTTTTTCCAACTATTCATTCTACCCTTTTATAAATTATTTTACATACAAAATTACTGAAATAATCCCATTTTAACTCAACAAAAATACATATTTCAGTAATTTTGTATATAAAATTACTGAGATAATCATTAAAGGATGTTTTTGTTAAGTTAAAGTGGAGTTATTTCAGTAATTTTGTATGTAAAATAATTTATAAAAGGGTAGAATGGGTATTTAGAAAAAATCGGTGCATCAATCTAACGTTTTCTATCTAGGACAGTGACAAAAGGGAGGTTTTTGTTGAGTTTCTCAAAAGTTTAGGGGAGGTATTTATTAAAATTAAATTATATGGGAGGTTTTATGATTGCAAGAGACTTCAGGGGAGGTTTTTGTATTTTACCCTAAGATTTATGTGTGTTGTTGACTTTCATTGCCTCAAAATCTTGAAATTACCTATAACATACTTCAAATGAAACAAGTAAATGAGCAAACATAGTAATAAAAATACAGATAAATTATTTATACCTCCCCTTCTGTTCCTGTCAATATTGAGATCTCCTCTCAGTTTTTTCCCCTTTTATGAATGAGATCTCCTCTCCGTTTGCCCATTAATTTATCCACCCATACTGGTTTAAGTTTTTTACTAGTTGAGCAATTATATGGGCCAGGACATTACATTTACGATTTACATAATAAAAGGAGAACGAGCTGAATTGGCCTAATAAATTTGTGGTCTTTGTACAAAAACCAAAGCCAATACCAAGGGAGAGTGTATTTGAATTGCAACACCTGAATCACATTGTATGAATCCAAGCAGATAAGAATATGGTCATTTACTAAAACATCCCTTATGATTTCATGAATTTACTAAAACATATCCTATTGTTTGTGTTTTACTAAAACATCCCCTATAATTTGCAATCAATTTATTTAATTGACCTTCCATTAGATGAAAGTGGAAAATGATAGTTTTAACCCTAACATCCATTTAAATAAATTTAATCAAAAGAAATTAAAAACAAAATTTTCATTTTTGCCCCTAGAAAAAATGGGATAACCACTCTATTTGATCAATTTTGTTTTTCATACAAAAATGTGTTAGGGGTACTTTTGAAATAAACAACCATGGATTCATACCCTTTAACATTTTCTACTCAGTTTACGAGTAATTTTGGAATAAACAACCATGCCCTTCAACATTTTCCACCTAGTTTGGTGATCATATGTTACTATTTTCAAATTGCAAAACAAATAGTTTCTTAATGAAAGGTTGATTAAGTGTATAGGTTGCAAACTCTAAGAGTGTTTTTAGGAAAATGCATATTATAGGGTATGTTTAAGTAAATCTATGAAACTATAGGAGGTGTGGTAGTAAATGATCCATAAGTATTCCGATAAGACTATAACATTGAAATCTAATGTCTAGAAAAAAAGCACTTACCGCTATTTTGGAAAATTGCATTAATAAAATACTATACAAGTGATTAATAAATAATTTAAAATGATTAAATATATAAAACAATAGTAATATTTATATCCATATCTATTTCTATATCTATATCTATACTATCATTAAAAGTGTGAATGAGTGTGGAACTTTTGTTTGACTAAAATACCTTAAGCTTCCTTTTGAAAAGAGTACAAATACATACATATATGTATAGTATACATAATAATACAAAATACAAAGCTTTGCACTCTATATATTTGTATTTTTACTCCTTCCAAACTGAGCTTAAATTTTTAATTTAGTCCTTCTCTAATTGTTACGACAAAAATGTATTTTGAATGATCACTTTTCTCCTTATTCAAATCCCTCTCATTAAGTCTTTTTATTTAAGGTATTAACCCTCATAATTCATTGAATCTTATTATTGACTAGAATACTCTTATTTTTTTTTTAATTTAGTCATTTTCTTATTGGAAGGGCACAAAGTGTAATTTGAATTACAGCATTTTTCATCATTCATTTCCCTCTCATTAAGTGTTATATTTAGGGTATAATTCTCATTCTTTCATTGAATTAATCACATTGCATAAAAAAAAGAACACCTAATCATTGAAGAACGTCATCCCTACAACCAGTTGCCACCAACAAATCTCCACCCATATCTCATCGAAGAACTAACCAACTGAGGGCTAACCCGTTGGTGTGTTAGTTGGTTTGTTCCAACGTTGACGTGGAATCAAATCCCGTAACCGGCACTTTGGAGAAAAAGGGATCAAGAGGGAAGTTATTAATTGTGTATGACATTGACTACCCAGAAAAAAGGGACAATGACCGTTCAGCCCAGGGTCAGAATTCATAGACCTAAAGTACAATTTAGATAGGTGCTAGCTCGAAATTGATGTTAATTCACGGGTGAATATGGATGCATAAGTTATGGGCTTTTGACCTTTTGAATGTTTATAAAATTGCAGCAGAATTCAGAACTCTGCATTAGACCTATCCGTATTTCTCAAAAAAAAAAGGCACCAGCCTGTATACATGAGTCAAATTAAGTATATGAGCTGTTGATGGCATATATTGATTAGACATTGATATAGATCATGCGATGAGTTTAGATTGACGTCCCACCAACACCCCACATCTCAATGTGCATTGAGAACACCTCCCCCGTACTTGTTATGCGAAATGTTACCAATGCAGAATTGAGGATGTGATGTGGGGCGTAAATGTGAATTCTTCTGGGATACAACTTACTATTGTACCAGGAGATACCATTTTTTATGGTCATGAATTGCAGTACTCTTCTTACAAATCATTGTAGAAGGCAAATTCAACTTCTTTGCATTTAGAGCATGTACTTGCTTAGTTGGAGACTTGTGGGCCCGTAACTATGCACAACATATCCTAAGATTGCTACTTGAGAACTGAATCCTTTCAAGTTTCAGCGTCTATCATTAGCAAATTGGGAACTACGCATGTCATCCACAACTTGGTAATTAACTTCGAATTTCCCAAAAGATATTGATTTCAACTTCTTGTTGGTGGCAATAAAAAGTTGTTAGATGATTAAACCCTATTTAAGACCTTATGTAAAAGCTTAAGCGTTTAGTTCTTTGAGAGTCTGTTCGACCAAAGAATTTAGGCTCAGTTTGGATGTGTACAGTGCAAAATCTTATATGCTGTATTATTTTATATGTATTTGCACTATATATATATTTGCATTTGTACTCTTTCCAAACTGAGTGTTAGTGTTCTTTCTCTATTGCCCCATTATAATTAATTAAAATTCAGTACAAGATATGAATAGGCCTATATTTATCCACATTGCAAGCCTAATGTGCATTTGCATCAAGTGGTGTGTTAGATAATAAAAACCTATTTAGAAACCTTATGATAAATTAAGCTTTTAGGTTGAATGGTTCTTTGAAAAAAGTCATTTCACCTATGTGATTGAAGTTGCATGTCCATGCATATATATCCAAGAAATAAATTATATTATTCAACTAGAGGCCCAATAAGTGCCAAATCGTTTGCCTTCTATGGTGTCGTGATCTCATATATACACGAAAGCAGGCGGGTTCATGTATAATTTATACAAAAGAACAAATTGTGTTTGTTTGTGGTGTATATACAAGACCGGTGTAATTAAACATGCACTCTGGTCCGATAATGTAAAACTCCACTCACATTGAGTTTTATATCGATAGATGTATTACAACTTAAATAAAAATGATGTAAACGATTACATCGCTAATCCCACTTTTCAATACTACGGTCCACAACTTTAAACCGATCAGTGTGCAACTCTAACGGTGTAATTGTACTTTTATACCGCATTCAAACGCTACCTCAATTTTCATGCCGTAATCTATGAGAAATATCATTATTCTCTAGCATCGCCTACCTTGTAGAATTTGAAATGGGAATTTCACTAGCAATAAAGAATGACAAAAGATTAGGCTTCTTTACTAGATCATCCATGCTTGGAACCCTAATATCTACCTTTACATATTTGTTGCCCTTTGGGCCTTTGAGAAGATTTGTTTTCACGAGCAGCAGAAATAATCAATCCAAACCTAAGCCTCTCACTACTCAGTGACAGGTCCCTACAAAAAAATGTTTTCAAGGTAAGGATGGATGAATGTAGCCAATAATGTGTTGTGGTTAGAAAATCCAAATTCCTAATTGTAATGTCAACGGATAGGAGGTTTTTGTTTGTCAACATCGTCTAACAGGCAACATTCCAATCTCAAAAGAGAAGGATGTTTCATCATTTAGGAGAAACCTGAAGGTGGTTGAAGTCTTTCACCCAATAATAAATAAATAGATTCAAGAAGCTAAATCTAATCACTCGTCTACAGAACACAAAGTTGTTTTAAGTCACAACTCCATTTTATAAATCCTCCAGATTTTGTTGTTTTAAACAGATTTTTATCACAGTATTGGGACCACCCTCCAATCCTCCAATTCAATAGCTATACTGCTATAGTACCCATGTCAAGAGCTAATTGAAGGCTAACTAAAGCTGCATGTGCTTCACTTCTTTTGAAGAGCAAATGGAAATGTTTACTACAGGAGTCGGAAGAGTTCTCATTATTGCACCAACGCCCCCATGCAGGTCGTTATTCCTACTTTCATAGCACCATCTAAGTTAACATTTCACCATTTGGACTAGTGCGTATGATTTATTCAGCAATGTTTCTTTCAAATCATTCCAATCGATGATCTTAGGGCTTTTAATAAATACTTAAAAATGTCCCTCTATATTCAAAATTACTTGAAGTGCCTTTTTTTTGGAAATGTACTTAAGGGTGGTACCCTTGAAGTTACATAAATTCACTTTTTGCAAATACGTGGCTATTAAAATTAGGGGTGAGCGTGCAATGGATTAGGTTTTAGATGGAATTGAATGGAATCAAGGTTGAACTGACCCTATTCAATTTGTTTCTAGGTAAAGGGTCAGGTTCAAAATTCTTGGAATTGATCTCCACCAGGACCGGTTCCAAGGTCTAAAGGGTTTATCCTATCCAAATCAACTCGAATAAGTGGCCTTAGTTGGCTTTGGTGGAACCAGCTTTGAAACCAAGTTTACTTTGAAATAAATCCCAAAATACTTTAAGGATGTGAAGATTTGAATCCAAACACTTATGGTTGCAAAGGTTATGGTCCGGCTTGACCGTTGAGTCACTTTAGTGATTTGACTTTCTTTTTAATTTTAACATTTGGTTGTATACTACTTGTGTATAATAAGTAATGTAAAAGGAAATATTTACAAGATTTAAATTATAATGATAAGTTTTTGAACCATATATTAATATGTTATGGTAATCTACATATTAAATTATTCAACTTAATCAATATAGACAATACAAGTCTTGAACCATTATTATATTATTATTATTATTATATTATTATTATTATTATTATTATTATTATTATTATTATTATTATTATTATTATTATTATTATTATTTATTGTTGTTGTTGTTGTTGAAAATAAAGATTTTTAAAGAACATGTTCCATTTTTTTTATAGAGGTGTAAAGAAATAATAGGTTCCATGAGTAGTGACCCTAAAATCAACCTTCATAGGATAGGCTTCAGTTTAAAAAACGTATAGAATAGGTTCCAGGTCTGGAACCAAACCAACCCCATACTCACCCCTAATTAAAATGAACAAAATGACTCAATTTGGAAGGAATACAAATACAAATATATAAAATGCAAGACCTTATAGTTTGTATTATTTTGTATGTATTTATACTGCACATATTTATACATAATTGTACTTGTACTCTTCTCAAACTGAGATAAAAAGAGAAAAAATCTATTTTACCGTTGTTTCTTAAGAATTTCAAAACTTCTAATCTAAACGAGCCCTTATTTTTCACAAGTCCGGATCTAATACGCAGAACATTAGAACATTGTAAGCACGTTGCCATCACATCCATGAGCACATTATAAATATTCTGATAATATTAAAACTTTAAAAGTTTTTTTTTTAAATCTTTTTCAACGGTAGGCTGGGTATTTCAACGGAAAAGTGTAAAAAAGATTAAAATTTTTGCAAGTGTTCGTTGCTGTGACCACCTGATCCGGACTGAACTGAATTGAACTCCATTCATGTCTCCGCCATCATTAACGGGAACTCTTCTCGCCGAAAGTATATAAGTCTTTTTCCTCCTCTTCCTCTCCACCTTGTTGCTTCCATTTAGTATCAAGTTGCTCGACCTTGACCAAGCAACACCAATGGTTACCTACTTTCACCTCCACAAACATCAAGGGGGTGTTCTTTTTTTGGATTTTGGAAAGAGGAAAAGTTGGTCAATGGGATTTTGGTTTCCATTAACCAAGAATTTCATGTTCATTTTTCAAATTTATGTGAGGACAAAGGAAAGTTTATTTTTCTGGCTATCACTTACCCCCTCCTAAGTGGGTAAATAACTTTCCCACCTAGGGGGAACATTGCTAACACTTGAATGGGATTTGTGTATATTTTCTTAGCATATCCGATACCGATACAAACACCCCGGGCATGTATCGATATTTTAATCCTTACATATTCCCTTTTTGTAATCTGACTCCTGTGATGCAATTTGAGCCTCTTTGAGCCCTCTAGAGTAAAACTTTGACACCTTATTTTCTGTTCACCTGACCAACACCTACAACAGGCTGAAGCGTTAATGCTAGTTATGACCGAAAAAAAAAATTAAAAAGATTAATCAAATATAAAATTTTAGAAATAAATTAAATAATGAAAAGACTGGAACCCTACTCCCTCAACCATTAACATCCACAAGCCTTCATCAACACTGTTCAAACGCAATACAATGATGTTGATGCTTGGATTGGCCGAGGACAACAAGGTAATTTCACCTCCGAGCTTTGGTGGAGATGGCCGAGGGCCTCGAAGGTCCGAAAAAGGGGAAGCTGAGGCTGAGGACTATGTCCGAGGTGGAAGGTCTCTTCGGGTACTGTAGGAGTCGAAGGTTGGTACCGAGTGCGATGTGCGAGGGGTCCAAAATAGGTCCTACAAGGACAGAGGTGTGTCGAACTGGAGAGTGCCGCATCAATATCACCGAGGGAGCCCGAGGGTGAGCTGGTCCCAAAGACCGTCTTGGGGCCCATGGCTGGGAGCGCTACCCGAAGGGTGGCCGTAGCTGACCTCCCACGCTCGGAGTTTGATAGCTCCTTAGAGGTGGACCAGGTCAGGTCTTTACCAAGAGGTTCCACATACCTCGGTCATACACACTTAGGGTTCCTGGCGTTAGTGAGCGGCCGTGGACCCCCGATGAGGGGGAAATCTGCATATACTAGCATTTTTTGGAGTCTAGCCTTAAGTTTCCCCCTTCCTCCTTTAATCTATGAATTGATGGAGTGGTATGGCATCACTATCAGCTAGCTCATCCCCAACGCCCTTAGGACCATTATAGCCATGCTAGTGTGGGCTTGGCTCGAAGGTTGGAGGTTCAGGTCGAGGTGGGGAGAGGCTAGCGTAGTAGTCGACAGGTGTCCCCCTCCACTCCGAGACGAGGAGGCCGCTGACATAGCCCACCTACTCGTGATGGGGACAATCCAAGCCAAGCCATTGGTGGAGGAGGAGGCTCCATTAGTGTTCGCAAAGCTCAGCCCTACCCCACTCGGTAGAAGAGGTCCTACAGTTCCTTAACATGTTGCCCCTCATCCTCGTTATGCGATATTGATTTGTTTTCTTTTGTTGCAGAGGTGTCAATGGACGCCAAGAAAATGTTTATAGAGTGTACTCGTACCAAGCAGAAAGAGCGAGTGAACCAGAAGGCGGGATCACAGACGCCGCAGAGGTCCGCCGAGGGCACGCCCGCGAGGAACGAGCGGGTGCCTACCTCCACCAAGGGGGCAGCTTCACAACAGGTCCCCGCCAAGGGGGCAGCTCCAAAGGTCCCTGCCAAAGGGACAACTCCACAGGTCCCAGCCAAAGGGAAGGGGCCAGCCGAGGTCACGAAGAAGCCAACCGAGGTTGTGAAGGAGCCCGCCAAGGGGGCCGAGGCGGGTAAGAAGCGGCCTATCGAGGAGGCCTTGAAGGAACAACCACCAAAGAAGGCAACCCACAGCGAGCATCCTGTCGGGGATGCCACGATGAAGGGTCCTCGTGCCAAGGAGCATCACGTGGGGCCCTCATTTGCCCCCACATCTGCACAAGAGCTCGCCGAAGGGGCCAAGCAATCTTCCAAAGTCTTCCGCCCCCAATGGTCAGTTTGCGAGGGGGACTCTCTCACCGAGGAAGGGGTCAGTGAGGCCCTGGTGAGCGGGGCGATTCTCTCAAGAGATCGCTTTTGGATGATGCAGAGCTCGCCGTGAGTCATCTATGACAAGGGGCTGCACCACTTGGCCGAGGTAAGTTTTTATATCCATCGCGATGTTCTTTTGTTTTTCTTTGTTGTAGCTTTTGCTGATGGTTTTCACTGCAGACCTGTCTCCACTTCGTTGGTCTAGGGTACCAGATGAGCCTCAACCGTGCCCACTTGGACAGCCTCGAAAAGGAGAAAGAGAAGCTCCAAAAAGCTGCCGCCGCCGTTGCCGAGGAGAAGCTCGCCAGGTTCAAGGTGGGCCACAAGGACAAGTAGGTGCTTCAAGAGCATCATCTCCGAGGCCCTGCGGCGGGCAGCTGAGGCAGAGAGAAAGGCAACCGAAGTGGCGAAGCAGGCGGCTGAAGCTAAAGGGAAGACTATTGAGGCGCTGCGGCAGGTAGCTGAGGCCGAGAGAAAGGCAGCCGAAGCGGCGAAGCAGGCGGCTGAAGCTGAAGGGAAGACTGTTGAGGCATTGAAGCGGGCAGCCGAGGCCAATAAGAAGGTGGCAGAGGCTAAAGGGAAAACTGTTGAGGCGTTGAAGCAGGCAACCAAAGCGGCGAAGCGAACTGAGGAGGCGGAGAAGCAGGTAGAGGACCTTGCCGACTGCGCGTCTGGGATGTACCTAGACGGGATCGAGGATACTAAGAAAGTCCTCAAGGAGATGCTGCCAGACTTCGACGTCGAGAGCTTGAAGGTGATTTCGGACTCTCCCGAGGAGGTTGCTGAGGTCACCATGGTTGTCGATGGTGGCGCGGACTCTAGCTGACGGTGAGGCCTAGTGGGGCCTTCTTCCTTTTTCTTTTTTCTTTTTTTTTGTTGCTTGATGTAAATGTGCTCGGCCTAAAAGGCCCCAAAACTTTTTTGTAAAGACTCAAAATTTGATGAAGTGTAATGACAAAATCAAGCATTCTTTTTGTACATTGTGATCATTTTGTTCTATGCAATGTGTTCTCCCTTTCTTTTTTCTTTTCTCTTCTTTTTTTTTTTGCCGAGGGGTCCCTTCCCCTCCCAATGACGAGACCACAATGCACACACAAAAAGTAGCTCATACTAGCTCGTTACATGCACACCTTAGATTGTTAGGAGGGAGAGGCCGAGGTAGAGCTGCGCGACCGAACTGCGGCTTACCTGGCCTAGTTCCTACTAAGTGTCCACTTATGCAAGGCCGAGGTGGCATACTGAAGTGTGGGGAAGAGGTCGAGGCGAAGCTGAAGTTTACCTAGCTCTCTTACTCCTGTGGTTGCTTAGGAAAAGTCGAGATGGCCTACCAAACTGCAGGGGAGGGGCCGAGGCAAAGTTGAGGCTCGCTTGGCTCTCGTCTCCAAGTGGTTACTTCGACGAGGGCAAGGTGAATCTCTGAAGAGGTATAGGTCTCAGGCCGAGGCGAACCGCCGAGTTGGTCAGGGTTGTCGTTTTTAGTCAATAGCGCTAAGTGTGGAAGACCAAGAAGCCAACTGCCGTCGAGGTGGGTGGTGAGGCGTGCGAGGCCTCGACCTTCCTAGTATACTCTGGCGAGGCATTTAGTTAGGGTGTTCACTATTAGCAATATGCCCTGGCGACGGTTCAGCACGAGCGTAAGGTCCTCGAGAGAGACTATGCGCTTCGACCAGTCACGAAGTCGAGGGGTCTTGGAGACTTAGTGGGAACACACGCTAAGCATTGAGCTGGAGAGGAACTTTGCTTCATTCATTCATTACTTCATCAAAAAATTACATTCATCTGTAGTACATCCAGAGGTTCTCCGAGTTCCATGTCCGAGGGACAGGTCTTCCATCTAAATTTTCTAAACGAAAGGTGTTGGGGCCAATGACTTGCTTGATCCTATAGGGACCTTCCTAGTTGGGGCCCAACTTTCCTACTCCAGGTTCAAGGACCATGACCTTCCTGGGGATGATGTCTCCCTTTTGGTAATGCCTTTCTTTCACCTTGGTGTTGTAGTAGTGGGCCACTCGTTGTTGGTAGGCGGACACCCTTATTTGCGCTTGTTCTCGGGCCTCTTCAAATAGGTCTAAGTTTGCTCTAAGTGTACTGTTGTTGGCCTCATTGTACACTTTGATCCAAAGTTTTGGCTGGCCAATTTCTGTTGGAATTACTGCTTCCGTACCATAGGTTAGGCCGAATGGGGTCTCTCCTGTGACTGTCCAAGGTGTGGTTCGGTATAACCTAAAAATGTTATGTAGTTCATCGCCTACAAGCCTTTGGCTCGGTCAAACCTAGTCTTCAGTCTGTATAGGATGGTTCTGTTTATGACCTCATCTAGGCCATACGTCTGGGGGTAGCCCCACGAGGTGTACTGTTGTTTGATGCCGAGTGAGGTGCACCATTCTTGGAACTTAGCATCATCGAATTGCTTCCCGTTGTTGGTGACCAGCATGTGGGGGAGGCTGAAGTGGAAAATGATGTTTTTCTAGAAGAAGCTCTGGATTGCTTGAGTTGTAATGGTGGCTAAGGGTTTGGCCTCTACCCATTTAGTGAAGTAGTCCACAGCGATGATGAGGTATTTCCTGCCCCCTGTTGCTTAATGGAAGGGGCCAAGGAGGTCCATTCTCCACTAGGCGAAGGGCCAGGGACTACTGAGAGCCAAGATGTTTGTTACTGGTTGATGGAAGAGGTTAGCATGTCTCTGACATTGATTGCACCTTCATACCAGCTCGGATGCATGCTTGTGAAGAGTTGGCCAAAAGTACCCCTGCCTTAGTGTTTTTTAGGCTAAGGCTCAGTCGCCGAGGTGGTTACCACAGATGCCTTCGTGAATTTCTCGGAGCATGTATTTGCCCTCCTCCTGACGGAGGCATTAGAGGTAAGGCAAGGTGAACGATCTTCTATACAACTCTCCCTCCAGTAAGGTGTAGTATGTTGCTTGACGTTGGAGTCGTCTAGATTCGTTCTTGTCGTCGGGCAGTCATCCTGTTAGTAGGAAGCCGATGATGGGGTCCATCCAAGAGGGTCCGACCTCTAGCAAGAGTACTTGGGCTTCTTCTATAGAGGGCAGAGGTAGCTTCTCCACACAGACAGTGCGGCCAAGGGCTGTTGATAACTCTATATTTTGATGCCTTAAGGGCATCATCTTAGGAGTATTTTAAACCTTAGATTGGCCAATCTATACCCTTTTCCGGTTAAATTCAATGTTGTGACCTTTGAAGCTCCCTATGCAAATTCTAGGTAAAAACCGGGAAATTTACAGAGTTTTCTGCAAATTCTGGGAAGCTGGTGAGAATTCCAGCTGAGAGGGGGTGTTTCTTTGAAAAACTTAGCACAGGAGGGCGCCTCTTATCTGCTAAACCCATAATGGCGCCCCTCCTACTATATTAGCATACTCCCCTCTTCTTAGCAAACCCTAAGGCACCTCCATACTCATTATTTTCACCTTTAACAAACCCTAGTCGCCCCTAACTGCTAAATTCTCACCTTCCATTCCTTCTAATCTCCACCCTCCATTCTAGGGTGCCCTCTCTTTAGCATTCTAACTCTAAGGCGCCACCCACTCCTTTTAATCTCCGCCTTTCAGCCTTAGGCACCTAAATTTCCACCATTTAATCTTAGGAGCCCAAATCTCAGCCATACATAATATTGCGCCCTCTCCTTCTCTTCTCAGCCTTAGGATCACCTTAGAATAGCCCTCCATTCTCAACCCTAGGGCACCCATCTTTCTACAAAAACTCAGCTGTTGCCCCCTTTTTCTCTCTAATCCCAGTTGTGACCACCCTTTTCTATAAAAGGACCCCAAGGGCCTTCGAGAAGGGGTTGGTCAATTCACCCAGTTCACAAGGCTAAGGTTTCTTGATGAGTTCAAGGGTTATAAAAGGGAAGGATGTCGGATCTTGTCAGGAGGGGTTTTTGCAAGCAATCCAGCCAATCTGCAACTACCGCCACTGGATTTGATCAGCCATCATTTTCGTTTTCTTTATTTTCTTTTATGTTATTTTTATTTCAGCAATCTTTTAGATTTAATTTATGTTTGCTTGTGTGTTTTGTAGATCTGATTTTGTTCGATTCATGGCTATGGTGTCTCGAGGGGTTCGAGGGTTGAACGAAGGGAGAAATCTTGTATTTCTTCATCCCAGACAGTTACCGCCACTAGATCTGAATTTTGGATCACTTTTATTTGTTTCCGTTGTTGATTTCAGTGTTCTTTAATTTCTGAACATTAATTATTGTCTTGTTTAATTCCGAACCTTTAATTTCAGAATTAATAAATTTTATTTTCTGCGAATCCTAGATCAATTTTCCTTTTATTTGTCCAGAACAAAAAATAATAAATTTTATTCTTGCTTCCCTATGGGTTCGACCCCTTCCTCACCACGTACTACATTGTTTAAGGTTTCGTGAGGATTGGAAAAATTTATAAATCTCTAAATTGATGTTCCAAAGTGGTTAACGACACGCTTCCGACTACACCAGCTGCGTCTGAGGTACTTGCTAGCTTAGAGAGGGCATCGACTCTTGCATTCTCAGCTTGCGATACTTGTTGTAGGGAGAAGAGCTGGAAGTGGCGGGCTAACTCTTGAACTTTGGCGCGGTACTTGGCCACGCTTTGTTCTATGGCCTCGTACTCACCGTCAACTTGATTCACCACCAAATGCGATTCATTGAAGACTTCGATATGCTTAGAGACGAGGTCCCTAGCGAGTTGTAACCCCGCGAGGAGGGCCTCGTACTCGGTTTCATTGTTGAATGCTAGGAAGTTGAATCTCAACGTGTATTCTATGATGGCGTCGTCGATGGCGAGGAGGATGAGGCCCGCTCCACTTCCTTTGGCGTTGGACAAACCATCAACAAAAAGTCTCCATGCTGGATGGGCTTTTTCGGCGGGCATGCCTCTTCTAGTTCATCTTCGAGGTTCCGGATGAGGGGTCTATTGAAGGTGCACTCTGTTACAAAATCAGCTAAGGGTTGCATTTTATTGCAAGCCTCAACTAGTACTGGATGTCGAACTCAGACAGTTCGATTGTCTACTTGAGCAGGCATCCCGAGGTCTCGGGCTTGGCGAGGATGGCCTTAAGGGGCTGGTTTGTCTGAACCATAATGGTGTGAGCTTGAAAATATGGCTTGAGATTTTTGGTTGAGATAACGAGGGCGAAGGCTAACTTCTCCCCTTCGGGGTACCTGGTCTAGGCGTCACAGAGGACCTTGCTGATATAGTATATAGGTCTCTGGACTCCGTCATCTTTTACCAGGGCCGAGTTGACGGCCTCGTCCCCGTTGATAAGTACAAGGTTCCCCCTGAGGCTGGCCATGCGAGGAGGGGAGGGGAGGTGAGGCGAGGTATAGCTTTAGTTCGTCGAAGGCGTGCTGGCATTTCTCCGTCCACTGTAAATATTTCATCTTCTTGATGGTGCGAAATAAGGGAAGGCAACGGCCGGCCAACTTCAACATGAAGCGGTTGAGAGCAACTATTCTGTCGGTGAGCCTCTTAGTCTCCTTCACCGACTGAGGGGGTGCCAAGTCTAGTATGGCCTGTATCTTGTCCGGGTTGGCTTCAATGCCTCTTTGGGTGATGACGAAGCCTAAGAATTTGCCCGATGTGACGCCAAAGGCACACCTTCTTGGGTTAAGATTCATGTTGAACCTCCGCAGAGTATCAAAGGTCTCGACCAGGTCCAAGGTGTGTGCTTCGGATTTTAGACTCTTCACTACCATGTCATCTACATATGCTTCGAAGTTCCTCCCCATCTAGTTCTTGAACACCTTTTTGACAAGGCATTAGTAAGTGCCCCTGCATTCTTGAGGTCAAATGACATCACTTTGAAGCAGTACGTGCCATGCTCGATGATGAACGCGGTCTTCTCCTCGTCCTTGGGGTGCATCTTTATTTGGTTGTATTCGAAAAAGGCATCCATGAAGCTGAGTAGCTCGTACACTGTAGTGGCGTCGACGAGGTGGTCTATACTTGGTAAAGGAAAACTGTCCTTCGGGCAGGCTCGGTTAAGGTCTATGAAGTCAATGTAGATCTGCCATTTCCCGTTAGCTTTCTTCACCAAAACCGCATTTGACAACTAGTTAGGGTAGTGTACCTCTCGAATGAAGTCGGCGTCAAGTAGCTTGTCAACTTCCTCTCCTATAGCCTTCCATCGCTTCGGTGCAAAGTTCCTCTTCTTTTGCTGAACTGGCCTAGAGCTCAGGTCCATGCTTAGCCTGTGAGTAATGATTGAGGGATCAATTCCGAGCATATCTGTGGCAGACCAAGCAAAGACGTTGGCATTAGTTCTGAGGAAACTTACTAGTTCAGATAAGCGTTCAGGGGGGAGGTTGGACTCGACGCGGACTATCTTCTTCGGGTATGCCTCTTCCAGAGGAACCGAGACGAGGTCCTCGGCCGGTTGGCCTTGGTTCGTTGGCTCCTCCTTGAGGTCAAGGCCCTCCAATGACAGGGCCTCATTGTTCTTGCCCTTTAGCGCTGCCACAAAGCACTGGCAAGTAATCTGCTGGTTCCCACGAACAACTCTGATGCCGTGCTCGGTGGGGAATTTGAGGGCTAGGTGGTAGAAAGACATGGCTGCCCTCAGTGCGTGAAGGGTTGGCCTCCCCATTATTGCATTGTAGGGGGAGCCAACCTTCACTAACAAAAACTCATGCATCCAACTCACTTGGTCCGATTCAGTCCCTACCATGATGGGCAGGGTGATCATTCCCTCCGATCTGGTGACACTGCCAGAGAAGCCAACGAGGGGAATGTCAGCTGGCTAGAGCCGCTCGGGCGCAACCTTCATCCTTTTTAGGGGGCCATTGTGGTGCTCGGCTTCTCTTTCCTGGTGGTCCCCAGCCAAAGCCTCTTCGGCCAGAATATACTTATGGGCCTTTTTTGAGGAACTCTTGCTTCGTCTTCGACGGTGTCTCGGTAACCGAGCACTTGAGGGCCGAGTCGACACGGAGCCCATTAATGGTAGCGTGCATAGAGACCACGGGGTCGATGTCACAAACCTCAAGCTCTTCCTTCTTGAAGCATTCGATGTAAGACCGCAGACTTTCGCCCTGTTTCTATTTAATTGACATCAGCGAGACTACACTTTTCTGGCATCATCTGTTGCTGATGAACCGGGCAATGAATAAGTTGGTAAACTGCTTCCATGAGCTGATTGACCGATGTGGGAGGCTAGAGAACCAACGGTGAGCTGTCCCCCTAAAGGTGGCCTGGAAGGTTTGGCACGTCAAGGCATTGGAATACCCATAGAGTATCATGAGCGCTCTGAAACCTTCTAGGTGGTCGTCAGGGTCAGAGCTCCCATCGTACGTCTCTAGTGTGGGAGCCTTGAAGTGTTAGGGAAGAGGCTTCGAAATGATGTCCGGGGTGAAGGCGTCCATCCTTCCTATTTGGTTACTTTGGTCAGTCGAGGCGTCAACTCGACTTTCGTGAACTTGTCGGAGCTCATCCTTGATGGCTCCGAGCTTGGCTTGCAGCTCCGCGATACGAGGGTCGGCGGGAGCCTGTGCTCCCTTTTGTCTTTGCGAGCACGGTGGGGGTTGGCTCGAACTCTAGAGTGCTCCGAGGTGAGACTGTGCATCTCCCGTTTGGCGCGGCGGTCGTTTTGGACATTGCGGAGGTTGGAAATTGGAGGGGGAGAGGCGTGGTCTCGGCCCTCGGCCCTAGAGTGGATGTTGCGACGGCCAAAGCGCCTGCCTTTGTCTCGGGTGTTGTCCTTTTGCAATGATGGTGCTGCTCGAAAGGCTAGCAGCTGTCTTCAAATGCCGTTGGTTCTTCCTCCCTTCGGCTGGGAGGCCTTTCGTTCCTTCGAGGTGGGCTGAGGGGTCGGCTGCTACCCGACTTAAAGGGCTCGACTTGTCGAGTATCGGCTTGGTCGAAGGCTGGTAGTTTGGCCTGCTCGTGCCGATTCTATGTTTAGACACCCTAAAGGGGCAGTCGCCTCAGGAGGGACCTCCTGCATGGGGGCATACTTGCTCCACGCGTTGTGCTAAGTATTGCAAACGGTCGAGGACCGCCTGGAATTGCTCGTTCGTAACCAGGTTCTGAGTGTTCCTGGCTCTTCGTACCATAGTGTTTGAAGCTAGGGAGGTTTTTAGTTCTTAATGCTTTAGGGGATCGTCTTAGCAACATTCCCACAAACGGCGCTAATTGTTGATTCTCGGATTGCCCAAGGACAACAAGGTAATTTCGCTCCCGAGCTTCGGTGGAGATGGCCGAGGGCTTCGAAGGTCCAAAGGAGTGGAAGTTGCGGCCGAGGACTACGTCCGAGGCAGAAGGTCTCTTCAGGTACTGTAAGAGTTGAAGGCTGGTACCGAGTGCGATGTGCGAGGGGTACAAAGTAGGTCCTGAAAGGACAGAGGTGTCAGAGACCTCGGGTGGGTACCCGTGGCGAGGACTCCGATGATCAAGTTAGTACGAGCGTAAAGTGAGTCAGAGGTTTGGAGCCAAAGGGTCCAGACGAGGACTTAAATAGCACTTAAGTTCTCTAGAGGGAAGTAGCGCTTAGAGATTACTCAGGCTCCAAATTGAGTCCAGAGAGTCTAGCCCCTTACCTTGTGGGGGGTGCTTCGTATTTATAGCCAGAGTTGCCTAGGAGTAGTTGGGCCATGGTCCAGATACGAGCCATACGAGGGCCTGGCGAGATCCTCTGCCAGAGCCACGCATTCTCTTGGATTGGGTCCTTCCAGTTACGCCTGAGCTCTAGGTGTCCCCATGTACACTCAGGCTGGCTCCCTCCAGTTCGACACACGTCTGCCCCGTACAGGCCAGCCAAATGCGCCTACATCAAATGGCAAATGTGAATTTTAACGGGATAGTGTTAACAGGAAGTTTCAAACAACAACAATAATGTTCAAAGAGTGAGCTGCTATTGATGTCTAGGATTTCTTGTCCATGGAAGAAAGACATATTTTTCACCTAGATTAGATATTTTGTTGTGAAGTTGAAACAAACCTCCCACCAATTTCGTTTCTAATATTGGAAACCACAAAATACAAAAGTCAAAAATCAAGAATACAAACAAACCCTAACCGTAACTCGTTTGGGAAATTGTTAACACCGGCCAAGCCAATGAACCTACTGATTTGTGTTCAAAATCCTTCTAATACCACTTTCATACTAAAATCTGAAACCTAGAATTTATTTAAAGTAAAAATTCATGGGAGCTTACCAACTTGTATGTGACTACTTAGATATATTTTTATTGGAAAAATATATTTGGAACTATTGTTTTTACTTGCAGAAACTTCGTATGGAAGAAGAAAAAGAAGATGCTCATTGCAGTCTTGCATATCCAATGCCACAATCACTTTGTTTTATTTGAAGAAGGCTTTGTCTTTGAGTTGCCTTTTGGCTAAGAACCTAAGGGTTTGTCTTGTAGATTTTGTATGTATTTGAAATTGTGGGCATTTATTCACTAAATGTTTGTAAAACCGAGAAAATCAATGATTTATTGATACTTAAGTGATATTAAGCACCACATCAACAAAATAGTGAATAAATGCTTTTCTATTGGGGGAGATCAGCTTCCATTAGGGCAAACATGTGCCCACACCGTTATAACAGCCTTTCCAAACCTTGCATTAAGAATATCTCCCCGTGAAATAAAGCACATAATACGAAGATATTCTCAATGCAAAGTAGTAAAGGCTGCTCGAATAGACTTTGCCCTGACTGAAGCCAAACTCCATTTGGGGGAAGCACTAAAATGAAGATTCTCCAAACGATAGGCATGCACATAAATCAATGCTTGCTTTTGTAAGTCTATATGCATAAGAATCCATATAATGCTGAAGTGCCCATGGTTCTAACACCACCTTTAATGGTTGGGGAGAAGGGTTTGAAGATGAGATCTTGTGGGTTTTGGAGGTTTTTTTTTTTTCTATTAGGGTCCGTTTGGTTCATAGTTGGAATCGGAATCGAAATCGAAATAGTCCATTCTCGTAGCCTATTTGGTTCAAACAGGAATGAAAATGGGAATTAAAATCAACAGGAATGAGATTTCATTCCCAAGAGAAGGGTAAGGAATGATCATTCCCTCAAATGGGGGAATGCCATTAAAATCAGCAGGAATGAGATTTCATTCCCAAGAGAGGGGCAATGAATGGCTATTCCAGCAGGAATGGGAATAGGATTTCAATTCCACCCAACCAAATAGTTGGAATCAGAATACCCATTCTAATTCCGATTCTAAACCCCTATTCCCACAAGCCAAATGGGGCTTTAGATTCTGTTTACAAAGATTTTATATTTTATTAATTTTCATTAAAAATATTTTTATCAGTCATAACTGAAATTAAAATTTCAGCCGGTTGATGGGACACCGGATCTGCTCCTCAGACCAGGCGCCTCACGCGCACATCCTAACATGCATTAGAACATCTCCCGAATATATCAATTATTATTCACGGTGGATGTACATATGAGGCTTCCATTCGTGAGGAGCCGGTCCCGTCTCCATTGATGGTATTGGTCAAGTGAGTAGCGAATGACGTGTCAAAGATTTAGCGGAGTCGAAGAGAAAATCCCTTCGAGTTCAAACGCATTGCATCACGAGTGTCAATTTTGACTTCCTCCCACCAAAATTGGTGGCTACAGGCTATGGTTTTGTAATTAAAAGGGATTGTAAGAGGTAAGACCCACAATAATTACCAAAAGGTGAACCCACAGCCAAGCAAGACTCAAAAGCAGTGGCTGATTGGATGCCACCCTATCCTGGTTCCTAGATTACATTATCATTTATCAACCAGATAAGAGTAAGCTTCCAGTTTCCATCCTCCTCGGCTCCTCGTCGCCTCGCCTGAAAGTCTGAAACAACGGCCTTCTCCACATCGATGGCTGCCCTATATTCTCCCATTTGCTTCCACAACAACCCTAACCCCTCCCCTCTATTCTTCCCAAACTCTCCTAAACTCACCAAGCCCAGACTTAAATCCCCAATCCTGGCATCAGCCCTTCCGCCACTCCTATCCACTGACGTAACTTCCGTAGGCGCCCCATTTGACGGCACTACCCTCGCCGTCGTCGGCGGTGGTGGCATCGCCGCCTTGGCTGCCGTGCTTTCCTTAGCCGACCCCGAGAAGCGGCGCCAGCTCCAGGCCGAGGAGGTCGGAGGCGGGGACAAGGAAGTCGTCAAGGAGTATTTCAATAACTCTGGGTTTCAGAGATGGAAGAAGATTTACGGATATACTGACGACGTGAACAAGGTCCAGCTTGATATTCGACTCGGGCACTCCAAGACCGTCGAGAACGTAATGAAGATGCTCACCGACGATGGCCCTCTTAAAGGTGTCACTGTATGTGACGCCGGTTGCGGCACCGGGTGCCTCGCGATTCCGCTTGCCAAGGAAGGTGCAATTGTATCAGCCAGTGATATCTCGGCCGCCATGGTTGCCGAGGCTGAGAAGCAGGTAAATAAGGCAAAACTGCCCTCTTTGGCTCTTTAGATCCCCTGTTTTCCGCATTGCTGTTTTGCTTTATAACATTTTGGCCCCAAAGGCCCAATTGGCATAGGAATTTGTGTACTCAGAAGGTCAATTTCTATTTCCATCACTCCTCCCCACCCCATACCACCCTACCAAAGTCCGAAACACAGCAGATTGCACTTAGTTTTGATGAATGGAATCGGGAATCCGAAAACATGAGGATTTACAACAGGGAGAATTATGACTGTTTTGATGCCAGCAATAGTGAGGAATAGAACTCTGAAACTGACGAATTTTGAAAGGGCGGGTTCCGCCAAATTACGTGGATTTTAAATCCTTTGCAGTAGTTTTTTGTGCAATGCTGTTTATAAAACTCTAGGCGTCAGCCGGTAGAGTCGTTTTCGCTGAACAAAGATATAAAACGTTTGCAGGCAAGAGAAGAGATTTTGAGAGACTACACAGATGGGTCGCCTGCGCCGGTTTTGCCGAAGTTTGAAGTGAGTGATTTAGAGAGCATAGATGGGAAGTACGATACGGTAGTCTGCCTAGACGTGCTGATACATTATCCACAGAACAAGGCAGATGAAATGATAGCACACTTGGCATCACTGGCAGAGAAGAGGTTGATACTGAGTTTTGCCCCCAAGACATTCTATTACGATCTATTGAAGAGGGTAGGGGAACTTTTCCCTGGCCCATCAAAGGCAACTAGAGCTTACCTCCACGCAGAGGCGGATGTAGAAAAGGCACTGCAGAAGGTGGGGTGGCGGATAAGGAAGAGAGGTCTCATCACAACGCAGTTTTACTTTGCAAGGCTGGTTGAGGCAGTTCCTGCTTAAGACAGGGAGGTTCCTTTCAGTTTTCCCCTGTTTTTTAACCTCCAGGTAGAAATAGCAGCAGCTACCACAATTCTTTTAAGCTTATCTTTCGTCGTTGTATAATACATATTTTGAGATTTGACAGGTGTAAGATTACTTTATTGAATTTCTGATTGTATAGCTACCAATCCAAACTATGCTGTTTGAATTTGGCTGTGGACATCTTATTGCACCTCAAGGCCAAAAGATAATCGTGGCCCAGGCTGCCCATTCTCATTCTTCCTTCTACTCTCTCTCCCTCTCTTTATGGCTATTCACAGCAGTTTCTTTCTTTCTTCTATTTATTCTTTCATTTTCCCCTGTTTTCTACAACCAAACCAGTCAAGGACCACCAGTGGTTGATTCCCTCTTCCTTCTTTCTCTTGGATCTTTTCTGGACACAATATGTTCACTATAAATTTTCAACTCCATCTAATGAAAATTGCTTGGAAATGTCGTACCTGGTTTGGTTTCATTACCACAACATCAAACCTGTAACTTGAAGGTGATATTGAAGAAGGCAAGTGCCTTTCCTGCTTCATGGTTTTGCTTTGTTTCCACTCATGCCTAAATCTAACAGTTGGGTATGGTGGAGCAAAGCTATAGCAGATTTGAATGGCATTTTATGTGTTTCCTTGTCGATTTAAAACTATTAGTGTGTTTTGGTTCATGCTATTCATGCCTCTGCTCAATTCCCGGTTTCAATCTTATCCTATGATTTTCTCTTATTTTATTTCATTGCTTCTTGTCTGTTTCTAAACTGGGTGAGGCCTCAGTGCATTGCATCTCTATAGGCAACAATCTTAACTTTAAATATTGAAGAAATTATTGTCGAGAACATTGATGTGGGCCCCACAGCTGTGGTCCCACTCTGTCCGTAGGGTAGAATGTATCTAGTCATAGTTGATGGTCAATTTATTATTCTGTTATTCTAGTTGTTATTTACTTTTCAGTTTTATATTGTTATGTGTTATGATGTAAACACCAAGGGCAGATGTGTCCTTTCATGTAACTAGCATAACATATAAATATTAAATTGAAGTGGCGGCGGCAGAATATTGAGATTTTGTTCTTCTCCTCAAAGCCTGTGTTCTACTGCTCTCTCACTCTTTCTCTTTCACTTTCTCTTCTCTTCGAACATGAAGTTTCTTAGTGATCAAGACTGATAGCAGTCTTGAACACCACATGGTATCAGAGCTAAGTTAGGGTTTCTCATGTGAATCTAATACCAGCCAACCGCATGAGAATTTCCTAGGACTGGAAGCTGAAAAGGAGTTCGAAGACTGATTCTTGGAGATCGCCAGAAGTGCTAGTAGCTATTGGAAGCTTGTTAGGGTTGCAGAGTGTTGGTGGTCAGGAAGGATCAGAGAAGACT